TTTTTTTTTTTTTTTTTGAATGAGATTCATGTTTTTAGTCAAATGAATGCTTGTAGTTTATTTATTTATGCGAACATAGTCCTTTTATTTACATTGTAGATAATATAAATATTGTGCACAACCCAAAAAAAAAAATGAACTATTGTAGTAAGGTTTTAGTGTGATTTTCGAGTTAATTAGTTGATATTTGACTAATGAATTACACATGTACATCTCAGATCTATTGAATAGATCTACAAAGGATAAGACTATTTTATACTGACCAAATAAACAATTTAGACTTCATAATTGTCATGTTCACTTAACCCGTAAGATAATAAACGGTCATGTGTATTCAGTTATTATTTATTTAGTTTACAAAGGGTGAGACTTATAATGATAGTTCGATAGACTCGGTATTTTGATAAATATTTTCGATTACATGATATGTCGGTAAAATTGTTTATGGTCACTGTGTCCCAGTGTGTCGAGTTGATGACGTCCCAGAAATGAGCTCAAGAAGGATTATTATGTCAAGCCTGATCGACAGAGTTAGTTCTGACATAATAATAAAGAATTGAGTGGTATTATTTTTAAATCGACGAATTAATTAATTATATTATCAGTAATTAAATTAATCAATAAACGTTAGATCTTAAACATGGAGAGGTAAATCAAGAAATTAATAAGAAGACAAATTAACTGTAATTCAAGCGCTAAATAAGGAGTTAAATAATATTTCTCTAGTGAAATGAAATAATATTCAAGTGTGAATGGAGTGGGTTAGTCCCACAGTTGTTAGAGATATGATGTAAAAGCTATGTTTTGCAGATTCTATCGATTCCATTTTGATCTGGCCATCATGTTTCAGTCAAAGTACATATGTTAGCAGTTTGTTTATTTATGCAAATTATACTCCTTGTCTTATATTAAGATAGTGTGGTTCGAAGTGTTTCGGACAGAAAGATCACCTATCGGTTCCTTATAAGACTAAACTATTCGTTCACAGTCTAGACAGACAATGAGACCCCTCTTGGAAAAAAATTGTAGTGTATTCTTGATTCAGTTGGTCTTTGACTGAAGAATTACACTAGCACTTATGATAGGTGTTGAACAGGACCACAGAAGAATTGATGACGTCCCCGAAATGAGCTCAGAAAGGTACATTATGTTAAACCCTGCAGGTAGACGATTGTCACATAATGGTTAATGATCTGAGTGGAACTAATTTCAGAAATGAATAAGAAGTTGATTAATTATTTTGTCAGTAATTTAATTAATCAACGGACGTTATATCTTAAACATAGGGAGGTAAATCGATCAATCAGATTAACATAATTAGTCATGGAGGTTCAAATTTATTGATAAATTAGGAGCTAAATGGGAAGAGCAAGAATATTACTCTAGTGTGATGCTTTATTATTTAATTCCGTTTAATAAGAAATTAATTTTATTCCATATTTATTATTCCATGGGGAAGGGAATATTCCTACAAGAATATTGTCTAATGTTAGGAGACTTGAGAGTCTTCTAGAAGGTGATGATTAGTATGAGAGGTCTATCATTGTTTGGATTAGTAGATGGAGTAGAATTAGGATTCTTTGGCCTAATGGGATAAGCCCATATTTAGCACCTTCTTAAGGTCCCTAATGGAGCCTATAAGTACACCATGTCCCAAGCTCTTGCACATATGCTAGGTTTGCCGATTTTCTCACCTACACACACAAGAGAGAAATAGCTTTGTTCGAGAGTTAGGGAGATTTGATTATTCGCTTCACCAAGATTAATCGAAATCAGTGTTAGGTAATCAGTTAGAAGACTTTTGGGTACAATATATTCCAGCCTTTAATTTATATATTTTCGGTCATCTCCTCCTGTCGTCTGCCGCCGTCGACCGCCGCCAGAAATTGCCACCGCTGTGCATCGCTGCGGGAAGCCACCCGAGCCCAGTCGATCATAACTGCAATCTACCGCTCGCAGTCGCGCCCAGTCAGGCTCGACTCCAACTCCCAACAGCGACGTCAGCAACGCCCGCAAGCTCCCTGCACCGTCTGCCTACTCGCGACCAGTGCCGCAGTCGTTCACAGCGCACGAGGAGAACCCGTGCCCAATCCGCGCATGCCCAGGTTTCTTATCGCGCACGCCCGCGTGACACCAGTCGTATGCGCCCATCCGCCTCGGACAAGGACGAACGTACACGACTGGAGCACGCGAGCGGGACGCGGGCGACTGGTGACGACGCGCGCAGCGCAGGCTTGACGAGAGCGCTCGCGGAAAACCCGCGAAACGGGGTAGCACGCGCGCGCGAGGCCTCATGCCTCGAGGCATGCAGAATGGCGGGGCAGCATGTAATATCCCGTCACG